TAGAATTCAGCCTCTCTTCGCTTTTTGCGGTATCATTACAGCTATCTGTAAATTGTTTCGGTTTGACTGAAGGCAGCAATTTATCAATGCGAAGGGAAGTCCGATCAAGAGAAATTAGTTTGGGAGATTTGAAATGAAGAAAATTAAGTTTTTGGCAGTAATGGCGTTGAGTTTTATCTTTTTAACGATCAATGCTTTCGGCGGCGGTTCGCCCGCAACGCCGAAATTACAGCCTTTTTTGACAGGTTTATCGCGTCCGGTTTTGATTCGTTCGGCAAACGACGGAACGGGACGGCTTTTTATTTTACAGCAGGGCGGATTGATCCGCGTTCTGCAGCCGGGAGCGACCGCTCCGACGGATTTTATCAATCTGAGTTCCAAGATCACGGTGCCGGTTTCGGTCGGCGATGAGCGCGGACTGCTCGGTTTGACGTTTCATCCGCAGTTTGCGACGAACGGATATTTTTTCGTTAATTACACCCGCGTCGCTGACGGCGCAACCGTCATTGCGCGTTACACCGCTTCAAACAATAATACGACGGCTGATATTGCGACGGAAAGAGTGATTTTGACGATTGCCCAGCCGTTTTCAAATCATAACGGCGGAATGATCGATTTCGGTCCCGACGGGCATCTTTATATCGGAATGGGCGACGGCGGTTCGGCAAACGATCCGGGCGCGCGCGCACAGAATATCGACAATCTGCTCGGCAAATTTTTGAGAATTACGCCGAGTCTGGATGCAAATCCGCCGACACCCGCTTACACGGTTCCGGCGGATAATCCTTATGTCGGCGTTGCCGGAGCGGATGAAGTTTACGCCATCGGTATCAGAAATCCGTGGCGTTGGTCGTTCGACCGCGGCGGCACGAATCAGCTTTGGGCGGGCGATGTCGGACAAAACAACATCGAAGAGTTCGACATCATCACCAAGGGAAGCAATTACGGTTGGCGCGTTTACGAAGGAAATACCTGCACCAATCTCGATCCGGCTCTTTGCGTGGGCGGAGGTTCTCCGATCACGCAAACGCCGCCTGTATTTACATACACACACGCGGGCGGACGCTGTTCGATCACGGGCGGTTACGTCTATCACGGAACGCAGGGCGCATTGCCGAACGGCGCATATACTTACGCCGATTATTGTTCGGGCGAAATCTGGTATTGGTT